GAAACTGTCAACTCTGAAAGAATACCAGGTGAGGACATGCACAGTGGATGATGCATCTGAAGTAGGGGTGTAACGGTACATGTATTCGTATTGAACCGTTTCGGTTCGAAGCTTCCGGTTTCGGTACGCATACAAAACCGAACGATTGCTTGGACCATTTTTCCTGCCGGCAAAATTCGTGCTGACGCGGCCAACACAAAGTTGCGCAACATTAAATGGCAAGCGTAATGAAAGCAGAACGAAACTGCGCTCCTCGTTATGTGCTTCACGGATCGTTTATCAGTTCGGACCAGCAACATCTGTGCAGCGCGAGCCGATTTCGACCAAGCGACACTGTTACCACACCGCGCTAAGAGATCCGGTAAAGAAAACATTTGAATTCGCCACTGAGGTAATAACATCGCTGCGAGATCTAGTGAGATGCATTCACATTTCTCCGTTATTAACCGCAGATCTCTATTAGATCAAACAGCGCTGTCATGGAAACCAGGAGAAACATTGTGCCGTGAATGAACTTTACGTCCACAGACCAGCAACATTCACCATGGATTTAATATAGTAACACTAACTGGAACCAGTTTGGCTGGAATTGTGAAATGCTTTCAAGTACTTCACACATCTTTTACCAGCACTTCAAAATTCAAATATTATATAAATAAATATATATTTAAATGTTATTTTTAATGTGATGACCAAAACATTATTTGTTCACCCTTCAAAGATGACCCCCATTTATAAACCTGAAAGTTTCAAGATCTAGGAAAACTCACACTTATTTAAAAATATTTTTTCTTTAAACAAATAGGAAATTTCTCTGGCATTTCTTTCTTTTTGCTGTATCGAAAACGTACCGAACCGTGACTTTAAAACCGAGGTACGTCCCGAACCGTGATTTTTGTGTACCGTTACACCCCTACTAGCATGCTATAATATAAATGTCTTTAATTATTAAATATAAACATTAATAATAATATAAATAACAATGTGTAACACTTAAGTGTTGCTAAAATATTGAGATGGTTAAATATTCATATTTTTGGAATCAAATGCTGACATTTTAGAATTATTTTTTAGATCCAATGTTTGACACCGCAGCATTGGATCAAGAATTAACAGGAGTTTGGGGAAGGACTATCTCACGGTCTTTCTAATATGCTGTGATTTTGACTGAATTTTAAGAGTGATGATTTACATTACACTCATCCAAGCTCTTTATCTCTCTGTAATATTGCTTAGAGTCAAATTTTAATGCTTAGGATTTTGGGATCTTTTCCTTTTGTTTAAGTGGTGGACGATGACCATTGACCATTGGACGCAAATTCCTGAAGACACTCTTTGCAGTCAGTGTTACACTAGAACACAAGCTCTCCAGGCCTTAAGAGGTTTGAGAGGATCAAGTTCACTGTTGTCAAGGGAGTCGTGTGAAAAGCCCAACGCACCACTGCCAAACACTCTCTCACACACACACATACACCGAAAGGTGTAATCAGCCTCTTCTGTAGTTTACAGTTGTGTAGATTTTCAGTGTACTGGACTGCCCTCAACTAAAGATTGTTCTAGACGACTAGTAGTCGTTCATTTAAGCGATTAGTCGACTAATCGAGCATTTAAATTAATAAGCCATTAATCATAATGACCTTTTAATTGTCTATATAAAATTCATGCCTAATCAGCACCCAAACCCACACATAAAGCTTGCCACAGTGCACCGTCAAATATAATGATTATGAGTGTGTCGTGAAAAAAACAAAAAACAGAAGGAGACTGTTTAAACCTTTAATAATTTATTGGTAATGTGTTTTCGGCCGCAGATATTAAAGGACAAGTTTGGTATTTTACCATTGAAGCCCTGTTTTAAGATCGTTTTTGATGGAATAGAATGGTTAAGATTGTTTTTTAGACAAATGCTGCTGTCCTGAGAATTTTCGAATTCTGTGGTTGGATTCCACCCCCCCAACCTTCACAATGGTTGCATAGATGCACTGGAACAATTCTTTATAAAACGCATAAAACTTTAGTTTACAAAGACGTGAAACTCACCGAGTGGTCTGGGGTGTTCACTGATATGCTCACACAAAAATTGCTGCAAAAGATGCTTTCCGAAAGGTTTTATCATAGTTTTTGTTCAACTCCATTGACTTGCATTGTATGTTCTGTAATGTACGGTACTACTCCGCCACCGGAAATGGAAATGAGGTTGTTTGTATTCTTTCTGTAGTCTTATGCAGTCGCGGTATCGTAGGCTACACTATCCACAAGTTTCCGAGGGGCGCTCCTGTAAAAAAATAAAGTGGGTGGAACTTCCGCTAAGGCGGCGGAAGTAGCATTCCAATGGTATTTTGTGTGTTAGTTAGCGAAGAGGCTAGCTGTTTTTCGGAGAATTATTTTACTATTTAAAGACGCAAATCTTTATGAGAGATGTCGTTACGGAGCTCATGGACAACATGTGCTGTTCGTGGTTGTATGTACTGTATAACCGGACTAAACTAAAATCAGAGTGTTCCTGCCAACGACTGTAGTTTCCATCACCTCCCAAAAGACGACGAATCTTCCTGTGTACATTTGTTTAAATTCTTAATATTCTATAAACTCTATCAGCATGTGTTTGGCCGTTCGCTACTGATGTTACACCTAAACTCAGGATCAAAGCCTGAGTTGACAGAATACCATATGTGCCAGTTAATGTATTCAAGCAGCACATTCATTTATAATTTTGAATAAACTCCAAAGCACAATGACTAAGTTTCTTTTTTATTTTAATTGTTTGTCAGCTCACTGTCGCCATGCCTTGATGAGTATTGATTATTAATAATGTTATTATAATACTCCCAACCAACTAACGCAGCAGAAAATCGACTGACATCAGAATTTTGGTCGAACCAGAATGCATCGACAATGAATCAACTGGGATAGTACAGCCCTACACAACACTGTTAGTAAAGTCGGTTGCAACTTCAGGTTCACAGGGATGTTATGTAGATGTTAATATATGTGAATTAATAATTGCATCTTGACAAATAACTTCGAAACGTTTTGGTTGCACACTATTTTTGTTAATTACATTTTTTACAAACATGTTTTAAGACTCACTAAATATATTTTAAAATTGCATTGTTAATGTTTATATTTAAGTAAATTACTTTTTTTAATTAAACTGTTCTGAAAATATTTTTACTTGGCTACACTACATGACATTTTTAGACTTAGTTTTTGTTTTTATTTTCTTTTGAGGAGCATAAGAACAGATTATGTTATTTGCCACTTCTAGAGCAGCAGGGAAATGACTTTGAAAATGACGAAACCGTTTTCGATTTGTAAATTTCCGTGTGTGCCCTTCTTTGACATTATTGCTATAAAGTGGCCTGTTATCAGTCTGTAAAGCGATAGCCGTCTGTCACACCTTTCACCCAAACCAGTTAAACAGTGTTTCCTCTCAGACTTCCCCCTCAGCCTTGAATAACTCCGTACAAACTCTCTCACCCCGAGTGCTGGCGCTCCACTGTTACGCAACACACACCGCCTTTGATTATACAATGAAGATTACTCTACACACTAAGCATCCCCCAGCACACCAAAATGTCGTCCAAGGCCGAGGACATATCACGATATTTGCATTCCTGAGGGCGCTTTACGAGGCGCAGATTGCGGTACATCTCATGGAGAGATCCCTGATTGCCGTGACCCGTTTCAATAAAAGCTCTTTCTGTGTCATGTGTGTGAGGGAATTTCCCCACCTGTGGTTTCTTTACTTGCACTAATGTTGCGGACTGTAAATGCCTGGAGTTCAAATGCCTGATTTATTGAAAGGTAGCGGTCCTCCTCGGTATCGACGCGGCAGCTCGATTATATAGATGAGCACTCTGCACTGTTGCAGGGATTTAATTTGGCTATGCTTTGAGATAAAAAGCATCGATTCGGTGGCGCCGATTGGTCTGATTTGAGTGGATGCTGCAGTATCTCTGTTATCTGATTGGCTTTGACACACTAGCTTTTGATGATGCTCCTATTTGCATACTTTTGCATCATTTATGAGAAGAGCGCAAGGCAGGCGACTGAGAAATTCAGCCAGCTAATTGAGCGTTCATCAGCAAGCTAAATGTCTCCAAAACAAGCTGTAGTCGGTTTAGAAGAGAACAGGTGTTACATCACATGACGGGACAGTCTAGAAATAGAACAAAATGTCATTGCTCAAAAATGATCACAAGAAAAAACCCTGAGATGATGAAAACCATCCATCTTGCAAACAAACCACATCTATAGAGCGACGGGGAAATACTTTCCACTTCACTTCTCCGTATAAATGAGGATGTGATGGAATGGCGGACACAGAGGTCGTGAGGAAATGGGTCACTTTTCAGAATTAGCTTGTGGTTACGCAGTGTTTCGGTGTGATACTGAAAATGTTTGTGCTCAGTGATGCTCTTTTCTGGAGGAAGTCCAATGCTGAGCGGACATTTTGAAATTGTGGTTTAATGTACTGTATTATTTGAATAAAACCACCCTAACTTGTACGCTATTTAGCAAGTGTAGCAGTGTCCTTGAGAAATATGCCCCCCCCTTCTTTTTATGTTGTTGCTTTAAATCACAATGAAGTGCAAATGTTGGTCCTTGCACAGTTAAATTGAGTGTCAAATCTAGGTCAGGTTAATTTCAAGTAAATGTTCCTGTGCTACAAAATTAAACACGTCTGTAAGTGTAAACTGACATCTTGACAGCTCTGTAATGCCAGTCACAATGAATCCAAGTGTCAAACTCAAGTAAACAAAGGTATTTTGTAGTAGCCCTCATGTAAACATTTTCAGTGGCAGATGTTTTTACTGCTCTGCAGGTTTGGTGCAGCAGCGCCCCCACAGTGCAATGGCTACTTTAGGTACTACGACTTGTTATTCAGTCATGCAGGACTGTGAAGCCCTTGGTAACCTCTGGCAGCAATAGTACACATTCAGGTTCTGCTGACAAAGAGAGCTTTTACCCCCTAATTTCACTGTAAAAGAGGGTTCATTTTATATTTACTCTTGACTGGAAGGCAGAAAGCCTGGCAATATTCATACCTCTTATGTTGTCATTTTAGTGTCATTCTGTAAGATCGCTTTCTGATGTTGTTTTTGTCCTTTCTCTCTCAGGCTTGTGTCCTGTGTGCTGACCTCATGGTGTAAGCAGGTGTGAAGATGAGTATTAGCAGCGATGAGGTCAACTTCCTGGTGTATAGATACCTGCAGGAGTCAGGTAAGTGCTGCTTAAATAAAACATCCCAAAACTGTATCCAAACTTACAGCTTCTTACCATTATGACAGCTGATAACAACCAGGAGGCTGTTAATACTACCAAAATATCACAAAGAAAGTATAATCGAAACAGTCCCCATCTTTTAAATCCACATGATGGCTCTTTTGTGGCATTAATTGCATAACAATTTTTTCATAAATTTGTGTATTAAGTGGGAAAAGCAACATCAGAATTCATATATTTTTCATATACTGGTGAACTATTCCTTTTACTCTTTATTGCAGATCACTTGTGTATCTGTCATCAGCATTGATTACAGTAGAACACTAGGATTGTTCACAGTCAGGGCGTTGTTTAAGGGAGTGCACATGATACCCTCCGCTGGAGAGAAAGTTGATCCAGCAAGCGTCACACTGAAGTGTTTATCATTCCCTCTGGCAGGGTTTTCCCACTCTGCCTTCACATTCGGCATTGAGAGCCACATCAGTCAGTCTAACATCAACGGAGCCCTAGTGCCCCCTGCTGCCCTGATCTCCATCATCCAGAAGGGCCTGCAGTACGTGGAGGCAGAAGTCAGCATCAATGAGGTGATTTCACAGCTTCAATTACAGATCAATCAAGGAGCTTTTTTTTAATTTTTGTATTAACAACTAGATTTGCATATTTACATTTATCATGCAGATTAGTGAATCTTACAAAAAATGCCCAGATACATTTGTTATATATATAGGAAAAGGCTTCAAAAAGGCCCACACACAAGGGCTGAGCCAAAAATATTATCAGATATTTTTTTCATATCATATGATCGATATTTGTCATGATACTCATTTACCATTAGTGGGGAAGGAAATGCTTTCTACATATTTGTTAGACCTTGACAATAAATGTAAACTTTTTTGTTTATAATTTAACCTAACAGAGTAGCAACATTTTAGTTTAACTTCAATTGTGTTTTTCATTGTATTCTGTAATCATAAGTTGATTCTGTATCATAAGTTTATTTTGACAGTTTGTCGTGAAGATCTTTCAGTTTCAGTTTAGTGTGTATTTGAGGGTAGTTTATCTCAAATGAAACTTGAAAAGCTCATGAAGTTGCTCTCAAAGCAGCATTGGACATGAAGTTCATGTCCTCATATATTAAGACGGCAGATGCTGACAACACATTGAGCGTCACATGTGTGAGTTTTGCTTATTCCCAGAGTCACGCAGGAGGGTTAGGGTTGGTATGCATGTTTGACTGTTGTCACGTTTATTTCTGCTGTCTGATTAATCCATAAGGAGTAAAACTGACCAGAGCTTATCGTTATCGAAGTAAATTTTACACAGATAAGTGCATATATATATATATATATATATATATATATATATATATATATTAGGGCTGCAACAAATGATTATTTTTATAATCGATTAACCTAACGATAATTAGAATGATTAATCGACTAATCGTCTATTATTTTGCTGGCTAATAGGTTTGGAATGATTATTTATATATTATATATAAGTTTTCAGAACTCAAATCAAACACAAATGCTCTCTAAGCATTGTTTAATAGGCCCACTGCTTTGTGAACTGAAACAGAAAAAGGGTCATTTACTTCAGGACACAAAAATGGTAAAATTTTAATCTGCAAACCATTAAAATTACAATCTTTTTTTTTTTTACATGACAATTGAGCTGACAGAGATGTTCTCATTCAGCTTTTAATTTACAGTATGAAAAAGAAAAAATAACTGCCATGATATTCTTCCTAACATCTCTTTTTGTAAGTCTTCATGATTATGCAACAAAATACAGGCAAGTGACAAGACTATTACTAATAGAGTTACAACTCGACAACAACGATATTTGTCGAAATTTTTTTATTGTCGACCAATCGTTTCAGCTCTAATATATATATATATATATATACCGTTATACCGTTTGGTTCTAAAAAATAGGTTTCATTTTAATAATGTAAAACTATAATTTCTTATTTTTATTAGTTTATTTTGGGTTGAAGTCCACCCTGCAGATGTTTTTGTGAGGTTCACCCACATAATGATATTGGTTGATTTACACAATCCCTTTAGCGTGAAATGAGTGCATGGCTGACATGTTGACTTCTGTCTCCAGGACGGCACACTGTTTGATGGGCGGCCAATTGAATCTCTGTCCTTGATCGACGCGGTGATGCCCGATGTGGTACAGACCCGGCAGCAGGCATACCGAGACAAACTGGCTCAGCAACAGGCCGCCGCAGCGCCCTCTGCAACCAGCACCAACATGCAGGGTAACCCCAAAAACGGAGAGAACACCGCAAACGGAGAAGAGAACGGTGCTCACGCCTTACCGAGTGAGTCATGGAATGATTCTGTAACATATTACCTGTTTGACATTGTTTTTAGTGCAATTTTCTAGCTTTCAGTAAACTGTGGCTGTAAATGAAAGAGATGTTGCGTTTTTCCTCTTAAAGGGACACTTCACCCATTTGCAATAAGCTTTGTATCTTTAGAAAGTGGAAAGTGGGAGTTGTTGTCTTAATTACAAATACGCCTAAAGTTATTTTCTGTCATTTCTCGGTCAAGGGGGCACCAAATTCAAAATGTATTTTACATTTCGACTACATGTATGACCCACTTTCAATAAAGATTAATGTTGAAAAGGGTGAAATGCTCCTTTAATGATTACTAACACGTTACTAATCACGTTACTTTAATGATTACTAAGACGTCATGTGATGATATGTGCAGATAACCATGCAGACATGATGGAGGTGGACGTGGATGTGGAGATCCCTCAGAATAAAGCCATGGTCCTGAGAGGTCACGAGTCTGAGGTCTTCATCTGCGCATGGAACCCCGTCAGTGACCTGCTCGCCTCTGGGTCAGTTACAGTCTCTTTCCATCGCCGAATCCGTTCATCCATTCATCCTTACTGAGTACACAACAGGAAATCAGATCTGTCAATACTCTGGGTTTGTCATATAAAAGTATCCAAAAGTTTACTCTAGTCTCATAAATTGTAATTTGTAGTAGCAGTTTATATTTTAAATAGCAATCCATTCTGAACCGTGTGGAATAGATTATATAAACATCAAGATTAGAAACTGTCAACAGATTGGTCGAGTATTGATATTGGGTAAGAACGAGCGTGATTGGTGCATGTGTAGAAAGGGGAAGTCAAAGAGTTACTCAATACTCTGGCTCTCCACAGGTCTGGAGACTCAACGGCACGTATCTGGAATCTGAGTGAGAACAGCAGTAGTAGCTCTACACAGCTTGTCCTGAGGCACTGCATACGGGAAGGAGGCCAAGATGTGCCCAGCAACAAAGACGTCACATCGTTAGACTGGAACGTGAGTTCAGCTCTGACAACACTCTCTCTGTTCTTTGTATATTGAAAGATTAACGTTTCCACCTTGTGTTTTTCAGAGTGAAGGTACACTATTAGCAACAGGCTCCTATGATGGCTTTGCAAGAATATGGACTAAAGATGGTAAGCAAAGTTATTTGCCTTCTGAATCAACATGCTTTTTTTCTCAGTCTGACAAATACAGAGTTCTGTCATGAAACTCTAGGTGGCGCAGGCTGATAGGTCCTTAACACAATCTGCTTGCAATCACATCCTTCCCTATAGGGCTCAGCTGATTGGTTCCTTCTGTTTCACTTGCTAATTAGCTTGCTGCTCAACCTTCAAATACTTGAGCTGCATTTGCAGTGCACTTTCAGAGCCTTCACCTTCCCCAGCTCCACCTGTATAGATATACTAAGTGTAATTCATGTATGCTATATTGTACAGCAGCATGTCTTTCTTGCCCACAGTAAAGTGTCGTGTATGTGTTGGCAGTAGAAAGTCCCATACTTTCTCTGCAGCAGCAGCAGCAGCAGCGTAGCAGATCTATTCCGCCAAGACCAAATATATCAACATTTTCATATCCATTATAATGCCAAACACTCTGAGAGTTGTCATGACAGTACTGTGTTCATTCACAGGTAATCTGGCCAGTACCCTGGGGCAACATAAAGGTCCAATTTTCGCATTAAAATGGAACAAAAAAGGAAACTTTATCCTCAGCGCCGGTGTTGATAAGGTACGAGAAGGAAACTACAGTCTGTGAAGTGTAGTAAGAAAGCACTCAGAACAATAGCAACATGCTCCAAACTACTGCAATACCGCATAGCAACACCCTGACACCTAAAACGATAATCAATCTGGAACAGGGTTTCCCAAACTGGGGTTACTAAAATATTTGATTAAATCTTTTGTTCACCTGCATGTTTTGTGATGATAAACCAAAATCAGAGAACCATGAACATGCAAAATGATTGAAATATTAACTTAATCTTTGGGGGTTATTTCAAGTAAACATTATAGGGGTTGGACTGACCAAAAAAGTTTGGGATTCCCTGACCTAGGACACTAGCATTGTAGTTCTGTAGATCCACTACCCACATTTTTTTTGTTTGTTTGTTTTTTTCAGAAAATGTAAGTATCTAGTGGATAATTAACCTAGTTAATAGTTTATATCAGTCTATCCTGTCACAGATGAGTTAATATTTCCTTCTTTTCTTCAGACAACAATCATTTGGGATGCTCACACAGGGGAAGCCAAACAGCAGTTTCCGTTTCATTCAGGTTCATAGAGATTCCACTTTATTCTTTATAAATATTATACTAATATTGTGTAAAATACTCTTATGCTGTGGCCTTTTGTCCCTTCACTTCAGCACCCGCTCTGGACGTAGACTGGCAGAGTAACAACACGTTTGCCTCCTGTAGCACAGACATGTGCATCCATGTGTGCAAACTGGGCCAGGACCGACCCATTAAGACATTCCAAGGACACACAGTAAGAACTGTCTGCTCATCCCGCTGTTCCCTACACTTTCAGTCTGCCAAAGGGATGAATATCAAACTGTTTTTCTCTGTCTCCAGAATGAAGTTAATGCAATCAAATGGGATCCGACTGGCAACCTGCTGGCGTCGTGTTCTGATGATATGACTCTCAAGGTAAGAGTCCTCGTCTCACTGACGAGGCTACATAATATATATAGAAATTCAGAATCGTATTTTCATATTGTGGAATCAAGATGACTGCTAGTTAGGGCTGGGCGATATGGCCAAAAATCATATCTCGGCATTTTTTGTTAAAATGGCGATATAATTATAAAATCGCCATTCTAATTATAAAACTAATTAAATTATCCTGCATTTGATTACCCCATTATAATGGCTACTTTCATAAAAATATACTTGTAGGATTAAAATTCCACATATGGCACATTTATTGTCTTCAACAACAAATTTTAGCTATATGTATATTTTAGTCATGCTACTATTCTATTTGTGCTCTGTCTGTTTGGCGCACAAAGCTTGAATTTTAGCGTAGATTCACAGCGTGTTTATGAACGCCATTAACTTATTGTTATTACTGTATAAATATATGACCTACCTCAACTCCGTCCCTAAACCTACCCGTCACTGGGGTTAATAGCATTTATGAGTGTTCCCCTACCATCCTAGGAAAAAAAAGATCGCTCCCCAGATGTAGATCTACATTTTGCTTCGTTTCGCTTGGACATTTGACGGTGTGTACAGACACGTGGAATCACTCAGACATTAATGGCGTAGACATACACGCGGATAGCTCAAAATGCGTAGAGATAATACGCCACTTGACTCGAAAATGGCTTGTATGTTTACGCAAAAGTCATGATATCATGTTGTGCAGAAGGCTCGTTTGACTTTCTAACGTTTACAGACGGAGAATATACCTGTGAAATGTAAGTTAAGCACTGAGGCTGACTATCTGTCAGTCAGCAACAGTATCTGACACTGGGCAAGCTGCTTTAAACTTGTTATCTTACCAGTTATTTCAAAGTTTGTGTCATGTTTAGGACAAATTGTACTATGTACTTTCACTGCAGCAGTTCACACTGCGTCCTCCGCTATGTCCTTGTATTTAACTACTGTATCGATATAAACTGTATTGCCTCATTCCATTTCATACAAACGTCCAGCTCCAAGTACAAGGTGCACCTTTCATAAGGTGTTTTTAAAATGCAAATGCTGTCTTTACTCATTGCTTCTTCCAATGTCCTAGATCTGGAGTATGAAACAGGACACTTGTGTTCATGATTTGCAAGCTCACAGCAAAGAAATCTACACTATAAAATGGAGCCCCACAGGTCCAGGAACCAACAACCCCAATGCCAATCTAATGCTGGCCAGGTAGAGTCACCATCCTTTAATATCGATTCACCAGCTGCTACTCTGATGATAGCTACTACTATTTACAAATTGTATGGAATTTTCCCACAATCCATGCACGGTTATACATCTTCTGATAGAGTACAGAATCACCAGATCATAAAATAAGTCAAGAAGCAGAAACAAGCGATAGAAGATTGTGTTCCCAGATATTCTCAGGGTCTGGGATCCATGAAAGTTTTGTGAAAATGATCAAAAAACACTTGTGGTGGCTGGCAACCAGCTTAGTGCATTTGGTATTCACAAAGTGCACTTAAAAAGGGACTATCGAACCAGATTTATCAGACTATACTCCAACAAATGTGTTCTCAAGAGATGCATGATAAATTGTTGCTATATCAAGTGTATGTGTTAGGGGTTGAATTACTTTTTGTTTTAGTCTTTTACTTTAGTTGTTAAAGTTGAGTTGTCGCTGATGACTTTATTAATGAACAAATAAGCCTGAACCTCGAGCTGAGGCTTTTGCTCCTACATACCAGCTTATATTTATCGGTTCTTTTGTCTTGGGGTTATATTTCTCACAAATTTCTGCTCGTTCTAAATCAGATACCGATAAAGTAGCACAGTAAAGATTACATTTATATGAACGGATTTGTGTGAGAGGTATTGCGTGTGAATTGCACCTCTCTACTAATAGTGAATCTGTGGGTTTTAGTTACTAAGATATTTTAGTTAAAAATACATTTGTGCACTTCTGAATGTTTCTGTGCAGTGCGATCTGCACGCGAGCGTTACAATGCAGCAGCGCATTAGTTTAGAACGCCAATCAACTTTTCTCTTTAAAACATGCATTCACCTGATCAATTTTGAGCATCCAGATGGTATAATCAAACGTATCTTGTGGAGCGTTCCCAGAGTATGCATTTAGTCATTTCAACTGTTAAAAAAAAAAATGAGCGTAACAGTGGACTTCAAAGGCATCTTATTCTGTTGTGCCCTCTATAGCAGCAACTAGTCGACGTCAAGCTTAAGCATCATAACAGCGTTATGAGCGTTAAAGGGATACTCCACTTTTTTTGGAAATAGGCTCATTTTACCACTCCCCCAGAGTTAAAGAGTTGAGTCTTACCATTTTCAAGTCCATTCAACCGATTTTCTGATATTTAGAAGAATATCAGTAACCAGACTGTTTCTGGTCTTCCATAGTAGGAAAAAAAAATTTACTATGGAGACCAGAAAATGTCTGGTTACTGATATTCTTCTAAATATCAAAAAATCGACTGAATACATTCGAAAACGGTAAAACCCAACTGTTTAACTCTGGGGGAGTGGTAAAATGAGCCTATTTCCAAAAGAAGTGGAGTATCCCTTTAAAGTCGACTAGTTTGTGCAACTCCATATGAATTTTAAACATTTTGTCTAAACATTTCCGATACTTTTTATATTGTGATTTACCTTTGCCGGTTAAATACAAGCTTTAGCAAATCTCAAAATTAATATCTATCCATTGTAGCATTTATCAATTTATTTTTAAATTGAATAAGTTTCCATTAATTAGAACACAAGTCAATTTTTTAACGTTGCATTCCCATTAAAAATGTGTTGTTAATTACATTAATAACCTGAACTCAAACTGATTGTGTGACATTTCTCTAGTGCTTCCTTTGACTCCACTGTTCGGCTTTGGGACGTAGATCGAGGCATCTGCATCCACACACTAACCAAACACCAGGAGCCCGTGTACAGCGTGGCCTTCAGCCCGGACGGACGCCATCTAGCCAGCGGCTCTTTCGACAAGTGTGTCCACATCTGGAACACACAGGTAAGACTGGACCTTTTCTGATTCTGCAGAGCTGATGCAAACACTGCAGCATTATCACAACTCTTCTGTCTGTGTCATTTCCACAGACTGGTGCTTTAGTCCATAGCTACAGAGGGACTGGGGGCATTTTTGAAGTTTGCTGGAATGCAGCAGGAGACAAAGTAGGAGCAAGTGCGTCGGACGGCTCTGTAAGTACAAGCTTAGTATAGTAGTACAAGTAAAGGTTATGGATTTGTGTTAATGCCTACATTTATGTAATATTTTTTTCGTTTCATTGTAGGTTTGTGTATTAGACCTGCGGAAATAGCGCTGCTTGCTGGAAGCCATGGACCGACTATGAATGTGTACATAGCCAAAATGACTGTCCCTGACCCTCAAACTGCTACAGTCCCTAGTGAACCATGGCCAGCCACTACAGACAAACAAACACAAGCACCCTGATGCCACGGGCAGAGCGCAGAGGATGTGATTCCAACCAGAGACATTCAAATGACTTTTGTAAGGTGGGAAAAAAACAAAAAAAACAATATAGCCGCGGAAGAAGAAAGACAAGAGGACAGGTGTATGTACCAAATTTGGAAGATATTTTACTATTTGTTCTTCAAAACCAATCTCATCAAAATAAACGAACGAAAGGATTTTAATCTTTGTTGGTAGTTTCCGTTTCAGTATGCAGACATATCAAGCGTTTCATTTTCCTCCCCTCTCTTTCTTTCACACATTTGATTTGACGTCTGTTTGATTCCAGGACTCATGTTTTCCTCCGTTTGACACAAGTACAGTTATTTAGACTTTTGGTACTGGATGTTTTGTGATTTCAACAGTGTGGGGACATGAAAAAAAAATCTATTTTCAATCTTTTCTTGTTATTCGGTTTTAGTTTTTATGCTATGGTGTAATTGTTGTCCCCCCCCCCAAATGAGGTACATTAACCACAAAACACACATACAAAAAACAAAACAAAACAGGCATGCACATCTTCAGGAAATACATACATTCACTCATACTATATTTAGTTCCCCTTAAAATTACCACCAACAATTCCATTCCTCAGGTCGAGACGTTTGAGCAGCCGAGGACCATTTAACATGCAGATTAAAACAAAAGACTTGCTTTAGGTTTGCAGTATTTCGAATTAAACATTTTAATAACTGGATTATTTACTTTGTCTCGCAACTCCAGACAGTTAAAAATACATGACATTAAACTAGCATGTTTTTTTTTATTTTATTTTTTTATTGGAGAACTGAAAACTTAAAGCAAGTCTGATGCTCAGAACATTGAACAAACATCTAAATGCCATTATTTAAATGCTTTTGAAGGTAAAACGACATTTTGGGATTTTCTGCACTACCATGTGAGATGCTGATGTTCATTTACAGTAGTTGCATGCATGAGGACAGTCTATACTAATGTGCTTTTGGTTTTTCTCAGTGTTTAGACATTAAACTTCAATTGAGGGGAAATAGTAGTCGCAGACCCAAAGAGTGCAAAAGTCTGTCTCTGTCCAATGATAGAGGCTCTGAATCTCTTTTTCCTCCCCCAGAAAGATATTTTAGGACATCACACGATGTTTAACCTTGAATTTTAAACAAGGGTGTGGTATTTAGTCTGTATAAACTGGTTAAAAAACACACCTGAACAATATTTATTACAGCCTACGACAACAGAAGGGTTTTTGCTCTTCTCTGACATCGCCCCAGCGTCTGTCTGCCTGCCTGCCCACAGCAACCTTCAGTTCCCCAGTGTCATTTCTAATCATTATTCTTACTGCGTCTGTGTCTCCTGGACTTTTTGTACTCTTTTAAAACTTTTGTAATTCATATTTCTTTGTAGCTATAAAAAGAGTAAAGAAATAGGCAAAAAAGAGAAAAAAAAAAAAGAAACCCCAACAAACTACCAGAGGTCGGTTTGAGGGTGTACAGCGTAGACCTCAGTTTTGCTCACTCTGAGTCCCACGTGTTCTCAGATGTCCCCACACCTGACCTTTGTTTCCCCAGTCAAACGTTTTTGGTTGCAAAAATTCCCCCTTGCATTGCATTGATCTTGTCATTTGAATCAGATCTGAAGTCCAAAATAAAGTATATTTTGATATTACGCCTGTGCTTTTTTTTCTCCTGATTTGTCTGTTTAATATGAAGTGATGCTGTAAATAAGCTTTTAGAGTTCCCAAATGGATACAGTTACTTAAAAGAGCAGTTCAGATAAAAGAGAAAATCCATTATGCACCCTCATGATGCATATTCAGTCTTGATTCAGTAATTCCAAACAGTATTGGTTTGTATCTGGTTAATCTTGCAAGGCTGCGTTTATTTGATCAAAAATCAGTTTTTTAATGACATCATTGCACTTATTTCTTCTCATTCTTTTGATGCGTGTAGCTCATTTTTTTGATATTTTTACCTCAATTATCCCATATGGCACCTTTAATAATAGTCATACTTTTATCCTTACATGCGAGTAATTTTGCCAAGAAAGTATACAGTATTTAATCATTACATTACAGCAATAAATAAAATTTTAAAAACAAGAAAACCGTATAAACTAAAGCGGCGTGATTTATACAAGCGGAAACATCTCAGAACCCTCGAATCAAATCATAATATTTTATTCAGCGGTTTATTCCTTGTCAAAGCTCTCCAGCCTTGCTCGTTAAATCACAAATGATATACTGGACAACAATAGTAGCCCATGATTCCATTAAACATCTCTGTTAATAGTTTCAGCTTTTCTGGGAACGTTGTTTTGGTTTGATCGTGCGACTGCGGACTTAATCACTGTGCATTGTTCACAAAATCAACAAAATGCTTTCATAACTCACTGAGAGTACATGCAATTTACTGGATTAAAATGAAGTGGGAGGGGGTATGAAATATATTTTTAGCATGCGTGAATGAGGGGCCATTTTGCCTAAAGAATCTTTTGCACGAGATGTCAACATGATGGCAGTATTGTAAATGACCGCCTGAGGCTTGTTCTGTGGTCAGTGTGTGCTATTGACGCACTGACATCCACAGTAGTGAAAACATTAGCGGTGTTGTGTGTGTTGGTTTTGGTGTGAGGTAATAACTGTCCATTCCTGAGGGACCTCAGCTGTTGTCCCACCTGATATCCAGTCTCTCTCATCCACGAGAAGAATTGGTGTGGAGGACGAGCGACACGTTCTCAGTGAACTCTATGATGGACTGGAAGATGTCGTGAGCCACAGCGAACAGGAAGTAGATGGGCAGCAGCCAGTGGAGCCTGAAGGGTCTCTCACTGGCCTTCAGAGGAACCACCAGATGCCTGTAAACAGGACGAAGCGGTGAAACAGAAGAACGGATGCACAGGCAGAAGCACAGATGCTCAAATGTACTCACTTGAAGCGCTCAGATCTGGAGGACCTCAGCATGAGGAAGATGAACAAACCCGCCTCTGTGTTTAAGGAGAACGAAACCACTTTGTCAAGCATCACATCAAATCCCTGTGCAACAGAAAATGGGATGGAAAAGTTACCTCATCAGGATTAGATTAGAGTCCACGGCTTGTATAAGGTTGAAGTCAGTGTTGTTATTGTTAGCTAAAATTTAAAACTAAACTTTTAGTTTTGGAAAACACTTTATTTTATGGTGACACATTACTGCATGCACTTACTAGAGTAATAACATATCAACTTATGCTTAATTTCAAGTAACTACCCCTAAACCAAACCCTTATTGTACCTCTATAATACGTACATTGCACTTTTAAATAAATCCAATGTAACTATGTCACCTGAAAAAGTGTAACCTTAGTTTTTTGCAATGAAAATCAACTTTAATAGTATATCAATGATATGACATTGGTTTCACTTTATTTTAAGGTGACGTAGTTTTATTGTACTCACTAATTACTGTTACTATCATAGATAGTCTGTAAGTACAAAAAAAATGATACCTTAAAGTTGTTAATATTTTGAGTTTGATTAAAAAATACTTCCAATACTTCAGTTAGATTGCAACTAGCTGAAATGAGTTAGGGGTAATGATGGAATTAAAATATTAAATGAAAAACGATCAAATGGAAAAAACAAAATTCAAATATGAAAAATATAAACTAAAATTGAATAAAAAGATATATGTCCAAAAATATCTAAAAAGCTAATTCAAAATATAAATAAATACTTTAATAGTATATAAATGATACTAAAATAATACTGCTAACTGAGGCAGTTAGCATAAAAAAACAGCTGCTGAGTTAAGACTGTGCCTTAAACCCCTCAGACCTTAAATATGTTTCAAGTTTCTGAAAAATATAAAAGTACATTTTCCCAGCTCATGAGGTTTCTACAAATGAAAACAAATGAAGAAATAAATATATATATAATTGCTTTCATTGTGATTTTTTTTTGTCCATTCCAATGGACATCAGGTCAAAACAGTTGTACTTTCCAAAAATGTACCAACATGAAATAAATTAGTAAACATAAAATTTGTTGGTCTATACTTTAAGATTTTTCTCAAGGTAAAAAAAATTCCAGCAGTATACCATTTTTTTAAGGTTTTTGTTTTACGGATTGCACATTGTTTGTAACAAACTAAATATATTCGAATCAATCAATCTGGTCATATAGGTGGTTTGCAGTCACGTGATTGTGTTGACGCGCGGAATGCAGATGTAATGACCCATGAATAATTAATGTAAAATGTATTTTATTAACATCGCAAAGAACCAACAGGAAAATAAATGTGTGCCTGAACTAGCAGCATACTTATTTATATATATATATATATATATATATATATATATATATATATATATATAACAACGACCGCCGGTACAGCCGAGTGTTTTTCCTCCTCTGGCTGGAAACGTGTCATATGGCTTCTCATATTTGTTGTGTTTCCGAAATATTTTAGTTTTATTCTACAAAGCTTACAACTAGTGTGGCTCTTGTCTAGCTCCTTTCCAGCTTTCTTTCTTCTGTTGAAAATAAAAGTTATTTTCAATAATGTGTTAACCGAACAGTTGCTGGTCCCCAGTGTAGGCCTGTAGTTTTTTTGTTTTGTTTTTTCTCCTGGAAGTTGATTGGGACCAGCAACTAACCACATTCAAAAAAAAATCTTCTTTTGTGTTCAGCACAAGAAAGAAATTAATACAGGTTTGGAACAACATTAGAATGAGTAAATAATGACAGATTTTTTTTTTTTTATTTTTTTTTTTTTGTGAACTATCCCTTTAAGGACGAGCGGCAGTTCTATTTACTCCTGTCGCTTTTAGACCAGCCGTTAAATGGTCTAAACGTGAAACGTGTTTAATATAGACGCATATTACACCAGATTTTCTCTCAAATATTTGCTTTCACTTTAGACATAGCCAATTCTGTTAATGCAAACATAGTGTGTATTTAACAGTATTAGCATAATAAGACACGAAAGATAACTTAGTCCAGTATTCAGGCGCTGTTTGACAGGCTTCTGGTGCCTGTGAGCGTCAGGGGTATGCGCTCAGGGAAACGCACGTTAGAATAGCGCATCAGCAAGTGAATTAAATGTTTAACCGGCAAGGCTTATGCAAATAATGAACTTTAGTAAATTGCCGTGTCTCGTACCTATTCATTAACGTGTGAGGCTACGTCGCGTTGCACAGTTGAGACAGAGGCGCCTGAACTGAACCGATGGAATGCACTGTAACACGATACTACGATATTTCTTCAAAAGCCGATCGTGGAGACATTTTAATCGTCCACGGTCAAAAATCATGATATCGCACACCCTTCCACACGTCATCTTTTAACGAGGAGGGTGTTTGGATTCTGCGCTCAGTCATCGCGTCTGCGTCTCTGTTATGTGCACGCCACAGACGGTCCGGCCATTGCAATTCCGTGCTTCAGAGTTCCGTCTTTCGCGTTCCTTCAATATTACGTTATTATAAATATATATTTAAAAAAAAATTTTTTTTTGGAAAATCGATTTTTGACATTTGTGAATTGATTCAGAATAGTCCATGTCCGCATTGCGATGCATCTAAGAATCAATTTTTTTCCCCCACCCCTAATATTTGCCGAATGTCACGGGACCACCCCCCGCCCACTTCCGGGCCACGTGCCCATCACATGAACCCACTATTTGTCCAATAACCCACTATATTTTTTTTTACGTTTTTCCGCAGTTGATTCAATATGCTGCAAAAACTTAAAAATTACGTTTCTCCAATCTTCTCAAAACTCTGGATTCTGATAGAGGGCCAGAATACTTAAACCTGGCCGCAAAAATGGAAGCTCTAGACCCTTCCAGAGCTGAGATATCGAAACTCAAAAATTCGACCCGAAAAAAAAAACGACAGTGGTACCCCTTTCATTTTTTTTTTTGGGTGAAAAATTAAGTTTCTCCAATCTTCTCAAAACTCTGGATTCTGATAGAGGGCCATGAGACTTAGACCTGAGTGCAAAAATGGAGGCTCTAGACCCTTCCAGAGCTGAGATATCAACTCAAAGTTTGGACCCGAAAAAAAAAAACGACAGTGGTACCCCTTTCGTTTTTTTCGGGCGAAAAATTAAGTTTCTCCAATCTTCTCAAAACTCTGGAGTCTGATAGAGGGCCATGAGACTTAAACCTGGCCGCAAAAATGGAAGCTCTAGACCCTTCCAGAGCTGAGATATCAAAACTCAAAGTTTGGACCCGAAAAAAAAAACGACAGTGGTACCCCTTTCGTTTTTTTTTTTTCGGGCGAAAAATAAAGTTTCTCCAATCTTCTCAAAACTCTGGAGTCTGATAGAGGGCCATGAGACTTAGACCTGAGTGCAAAAATGGAGGCTCTAGCCCCTTCCAGAGCTGAGATATCGAAACTCAAAAATTCGGCCCGAAAAAAAAACGACAGTGGTACCCCTTACGTTTTTTTTTTGGGCGAAAAATTAAGTTTCTCCAATCTTCCCAACTCTGGATTCTGATAGAGGGCCATGAGACTTAGACCTGAGTGCAAAAATGGAGGCTCTAGCCCCTTCCAGAGCTGAGATATCGAAACTCAAAAATTCGGCCCGAAAAAAAAAACGACAGTGGTACCCCTTACGGTTTTTTTTGGGCGAAAAATTAAGTTTCTCCAATCTTCCCAAATTCTGATAGAGGGCCATGAGACTTAGACCTGAGTGCAAAAATGGAGGCTCTAGCCCCTTCCAGAGCTGAGATATCGAAACTCAAAAATTCGGCCCGAAAAAAAAAACGACAGTGGTACCCCTTACGTTTTTTTTTTTGGGGCGAAAAATTAAGTTTCTCCAATCTTCCCAAAACTCTGGATTCTGATAGAGGGCCATGAGACTTAGACCTGAGTGCAAAAATGGAGGCTCTAGCCCCTTCCAGAGCTGAGATATCGAAACTCAAAAATTCGGCCCGAAAAAAAAAACGACAGTGGTACCCCTTACGTTTTTTTTTTTTGGGCGAAAAATTAAGTTTCTCCAATCTTCCCAAATTCTGATAGAGGGCCATGAGACTTAGACCTGAGTGCAAAAATGGAGGCTCTAGCCCCTTCCAGAGCTGAGATATCGAAACTCAAAAATTCGGCCCGAAAAAAAAAACGACAGTGGTACCCCTTACGTTTTTTTTTTTGGGCGAAAAATTAAGTTTCTCCAATCTTCCCAAATTCTGATAGAGGGCCATGAGACTTAGACCTGAGTGCAAAAATGGAGGCTCTAGCCCCTTCCAGAGCTGAGATATCGAAACTCAAAAATTCGGCCCGAAAAAAAAAACGACAGTGGTACCCCTTACGTTTTTTTTTTGGGCGAAAAATTAAGTTTCTCCAATCTTCCCAAATTCTGATAGAGGGCCATGAGACTTAGACCTGAGTGCAAAAATGGAGGCTCTAGCCCCTTCCAGAGCTGAGATATCGAAACTCAAAAATTCGGCCCGAAAAAAAAAACGACAGTGGTACCCCTTACGTTTTTTTTTTGGGCGAAAAATTAAGTTTCTCCAATCTTCCCAAATTCTGATAGAGGGCCATGAGACTTAGACCTGAGTGCAAAAATGGAGGCTCTAGCCCCTTCCAGAGCTGAGATATCGAAACTCAAAAATTCGGCCCGAAAAAAAAACGACAGTGGTACCCCTTACGTTTTTTTTTTTGGGCGAAAAATTAAGTTTCTCCAATCTTCCCAAATTCTGATAGAGGGCCATGAGACTTAGACCTGAGTGCAAAAATGGAGGCTCTAGCCCCTTCCAGAGCTGAGATATCGAAACTCAAAAATTCGGCCCGAAAAAAAAACGACAGTGGTACCCCTTACGTTTTTTTTTTGGGCGAAAAATTAAGTTTCTCCAATCTTCCCAAATTCTGATAGAGGGCCATGAGACTTAGACCTGAGTGCAAAAATGGAGGCTCTAGCCCCTTCCAGAGCTGAGATATCGAAACTCAAAAATTCGGCCCGAAAAAAAAACGACAGTGGTACCCCTTACGTTTTTTTTTTTGGGCGAAAAATTAAGTTTCTCCAATCTTCCCAAATTCTGATAGAGGGCCA